ACTTGCTCTTGACCTTTTTATTGTAATATTTTGCAACCCTCAGTTTATGGGCTTCGATATTCTCAAGAGCACGCAGCCGATGGCAACTCAAGTCCTCTAAGTCATCTATCATAAGATTTTTGTAGACTTCGACTAACAAATCATTTTGCAACCTAACACGCCTCGATCTAGCCTGAACTTCCCAAGGAAGGACTGCATTATAGCCATACACAAGTTCATAGGGTGACATTTTAATCGATCCATGACAGGCCATTCTATATGCCCATAGTGCCTCATTAAGCGTTCAATGCCACTTCCTTGGCTGCTCCTTAATCTTTTTCTTGATCAGCTAAATCATAATCTGATTGGACGCCTCTGCCTGGCCATTAGCCTGAGCATAGTAAGGAGAAGAATTTAGTAGCTTGATTCCCATACTGGCAGTAAAATCTCTAAACTCTTCTGATGTGAACATTGTCCCTTGATCGGTAGTGATAGTTTGAGAAATCCCAAAATGATACATAATATGCTCCTTGGCAAATTAACCATGTTCTTTGAGGTTACTGTCTTCAAAGAAATTGCCTCAACCCACTTAGTGAAGTAATCTATCATTACCAATATGAACTTATGTTCTTTGCTTGAGGGCGGAAAAATCTGACCAATTAAATCAATTCCCCAACCTCGAAACAACCATGGTTTGATTATTGGATTCATGGCCGATGCAAGCGATTTCTAGACATCACCAAAACGTTGATAGTCCTGGCACCCCTTGTAATATTTAAAACAGTGTTCCAATATTGTTAGCTAGAAATATCTAGTTTTGCGAATAATCCATTTCATCTTATAAGCTGATTGATGAGCTCCACATATCCCCTCATGTACCTCGCCCATCAACACCTTAGCTTCCTCTTGATTTAAGCATTTGAGTAACACTCCATCGACTATTTTGTAATACAGCTGATCATTCAGTAAAACATACTTAGTCGATTTATATCTTATCTTTCTGGAAACTTTCTATGATGAATTCCTAAGGTAATCGGCTAATTCAACTCTCCAATTATCATTTGAGATTTCACTAATCAAGACTTCTTAAAACACTCGATAACCTGACGCACTTTGAGCTAAACGATTAGCATCTTGATTTTGTGCCCTCGGAATATATTGAAAAGAGACATGAAGAAATTCCTTAAGCAACTTTTGGCACTCATCATACTATCCTCTCAAAGTATCTTCTTTGCACTCATATAGGCCGATCAACTGATTGATAATTAACCGTGAATCTCTAAATATTTCAATTGCTTCGGCCTTTACTTCACGAAGAAGCTGAAGTCCTTTAAGAATAGCCTCATATTCCGCTTGGTTGTTGGTAATCATTGGTTCAGTTGAAAGAGCAAACTCAAAACTTGCCCTCCAAGGCGAAATAATAATAATACCAATACCATCACCTTATTTGCATGATGATCCATCAAAGAATAACATCCAAGGTATTGGCTCTACATAATCAATGCTTGGCTTATGATGCTGGGTGACAAAATCGGCCATTACTTGATATTTGACTGTTTTAGCCGATTCGTACTTCAAGTCAAATTCTGATAACGCGAGAATCCACTTTCCCACTCTCCCATTCAGTATTGGCATTGATAACATATGCTTAATCACATCAACCTTGGAAACAACCGTACATTCGGCTGATAACAAGTAGTGTCGCAACTTAGTTCAAGAGAAATATAAGCACAAGCATAACTTTTCGGTAGGAGAATATCTTGTCTCTGGATCCATGAGTCTTTTACTCAGATAGAAAACAACTCGCTCTTTTCCTTCAAATTCTTGCATCAAGGCCGATCCAATTGTTTTGTCATCAGCCGATATGTACAACTTAAAAGGCTCACGGATTGCGTCAGAGCACCTGAAAGCGGTCTTTGCTATATCTTGCTCAGCCATGAAAATTTGATTATATCCCGTATTACCGTCCATGAAGCTAATAACTTTGTGTCCGGCTGCTGCGTCTACCAACATATCGGCAATTGGCATCGGATAACCATCTATGGGCGTAGCCTTGTTCAGATCTCTAAAATCGATGCAAACTCTTAATTTTCCATTCTTCTTATACACAGGGATAACATTCGATATCCACTCTGCATATCGGCATGGTCGGATAAACTTTGCTTTCGGTAACCTTTGAGTCTCCTTTTTGATATCATCAAGCACGTTTGGGTTGAATCTTCTCGGAGCTTGTTTAAACGACCGATATCCAAGTTTGATTAGCAATTGATGTTCAATAATCGATCGGTCTAGATCAGGCATCTTATAATATTCCCAAGCGAAATAGTCTTTAAATTCGTTTAATAAATCGACTAACTCTTGCTTATACTCAGGATTCAACTTAGCACTTATATACGTCGCCCAGGCCTATCTCTAGAATCAATATCTACTTCTTCTAACTCATCGGCCGATGTGAAGCCATGTCCTAGTGTGTCGCTTCGGAAGCAGCCAGACGCGAAAGGCGACTAAATAGCTAAGGTCACGCCTAACCAGAAACAGATCTACTAACTAGCATCCTCCAATTTATAGTACCATCAGTGGGGATCGACTAGATCGTTACAGCCATAATGGTGAACCATAAACTAGATTCAACTAGCCAGCAGACCTCTTTAAGATTATGCATGTCTTAACCGCGTACTATGCACGATCAAGATCGAAGTAAAACACCAATGAAACATAAATCGTCGTTCAAGGTAGATAATATCGTGTTGTAACAAACAAACGACGGATCTAAATGATATGATGCCGATCTAATTTGATCTCGATCAGGCGAATTGATATTGCTGTAAACTAATAACAATGAAAACATCAGCAAGATCGGTAACTTAATGAATCTACCCGAAGGACACCACCCTTAGATAGAGTCGATAACTTGACCTTAATCTAGTTCGAGCAAAGGTCGACCGGATCGATGTAGCCGTATTTGAACTAAACGAGAGTCGATAACTAGCTTATACCAGAGTCGTAGTAGAGGTCGACCGGATCAATACAGCCGTACGAACAGCAGTATAAGCATGACGGTACTTACAGATAAGCTAGAGGTCGACCGGACCGATACATCCCTGCTCGCTGAAGAACTCGCCGAGATATACTCTACTCCTACTCCTAAGGGATGGCCAGAGCTAAAAAAAAAAGTAAGTAACTTGTATTTGATTGATTGTGGCCCCGTTCGTTTGTCTTAAATTTGGCTTGTTCGGCTTATTTTTTCAAATTTAATGTTTTTTTCTCTCTCACAACAATTCAAATTTAACGGTGTTTTTCAAATGATTTCACCAAAGTTCGATCAAATGAATCAGGGCTGTGTGTCCTTTATAATAGCCGGGGTCTAATATTTATACCCGGAACCTACGTATCAATCATCATTAAGCATGACTCATTATAATTTTTGGCCTAAAAGAAAATATTCCTAATTTAAGATAACTTGGACTTTAATCTTTTATTTTTTAGAGTCCAACATGTTTTTCCTGGCGCCGATTGTAGCTATTATAGTTATCTGACTGGCGTTATCTGAAGAGAGCCGATTCCAGTGATGCATTATAATCAGTTGATACCGACCTTTATGCAATCGATTCCTTGATGACATGATCCTGGGAGCTTTCAAGTTCCTGCAATCTTTCTCCCAAATTCTGATGTAAACACACAGTAAACATATAATATGGTATGCTTTAGTACAAAGTTTTGTTGTAGCTTTAGAACTATGCTTTTATGTAATTAATTTATAGCTGCAGTTTTTATGGTCTAATTATGGTGAAATTTTTATGGTGGTCTAATTATTGTATGCTTTAACTTTAGTAAAAATTTCATACTCGTTTATATTTTTACACACTTTTAACTATTTTAAAACTATTTAACAAGCATAAAACTAAATAAATCTATAACTCAGTTATACATGATCCAATGAGCATGAACTTTTTATTACAGTTCAATCATATAATAATTAGTCCACTATAAAAATTTCACCACAATTGGACCATAAAAACTACAGTTTTGAATTAATTATAGAAAAATATAGATCTAAAGCTACAGCAAAAACTTTGTACTAAAATATATTATATTATATATTTAATGGGTAGAACTACTCATATGGAGTCAAAAAAAATTAGACTTTCTATTTTATGATTTACTATGATTTTTTAAAAATTTAGCCGAAATAAATAAAAAAGAAAAAGACAAAACCGTCTTTAAAAACCACCTATAACCGAATCAGAAAGATAAAACGAACGGTTTTAAAAGTTGAAGGACGTGGTTTACCCTATTTTGAAGTTCGGAGAGGAAACTAGACTTTCATGAGGAAAATAAAATAGACTTTTTCCTCTCTAAAACCAGGATTGCTCCATTAGGCATCAATATTCACTCCATCCTCCACTAAAAAAAAAAATCAATATTCAATCCATCCGTCCTGAAGTCGGGTAGTATGTGAAGGTGCGAAACTGAACTTGCTCCAAACGCCGTATTTTCCTCGCGGTATCTGGTTCAATTGTTTTTGAGCTCCAGGTCAAAGGCGGATCGTAGAAACGACTATGAACGAAACAAGTTCTAGATCCCATCAGATACTCAGACGGGTTGGTGTTCCTCTTAAGATCGGTAAGCTGCCGACAATGTCTAATAACAATACTAAAAAACACACGCATTGACACATTTCTCCCTCACCCTCCCCCTCTCTCTGAAATTCAAGCATCGCAAGGAGCATCTCGCTGACGCTGGTCAAGCCTGTACCGTAGCGCTCACCCCCCGTGAGCATACACGGCCTAAGAATATCCGAGGCTGCGGCAACGATCGATGACGCACCGGAGCAGTGCAGGTGCAGCGAAAGAAAAGCGCGCCGTCGCTGTCGACGGCCGTGCCGAGCGCCAGCAGACAAGCAGCGACGCTACAAAACAACGCGCCAATCAACCGCCCCACTGCTGACCCTTTCCAACCTCCAAGCTTCCTGCCTTCCGCCTGCCGGCCCGCAGCGGTGGTAGCGGCCACGCCCCCATGGTATGGCCGCCCGCTCCCTCCTCCTCTACGCGCTGCTCCTGGACCTCTCCACCGCCGCGCCGTCCCACGGCCTCACTCAAGGTAGAGTCTTGCCGTCATGATTGAATCCTTTTTTCACGTTCTGATTATCAGCTCGCGCGCCCTGAGTGCCGCTGGAATGTTTGGTGGATTGCATCAACGACCGGATTTTGCGTGCAAACGGCAGGCTACTATTTTTGAATCTGACTGACGTGACTTACTGCTGCTTCCTTCCAAATTCAATGCTTCTGTTGTGTCGTTGTGCTTCTTTTCTGATGTGATGGTGGGGTTTTCTGTTGACTTTGACACAGCGGATGTTGCGAAACGATTGAAGGAGGAGCTGTCACAGAGGAACCGTGGGCATGAGATGCTCCAATCATGGAACGGGGACCCGTGCTCTCCGTCTACATGGGAAGGGTTCTCTTGCGAACCCAAGGATGGTGCCCAGGTCGTCGTCAAGCTGTGAGTGGTCACTAAAATTGTGGACGTTTGCTCAGCACGCACATGTAGTTTTGAGAACAAGCCGTCAACACCTATTTCCTTGCTGCTAATCTGGGATTTGTTGTTCCTGCACTGTGAATTCGGATCCTTCTATGTCGCTCCTATAGCCCTTGCCTTTCTTAGTTCTTCTTTACCTTTTTGATAGAGCATTGCATTTGTGAGTTGGTGTTGAATTGAACAGAACTGTGATAGGCTGGTATTTGCGATTTGCGTAGGAACTTTTCTTCAAAGGACTTGCAAGGGCCGATTCCTGCAGCGATTGGAAACTTGACGGAGCTAAATGAAATGTATGTTTCGCTGTCTGCTTTCATGTGAATTCATGCTTTGCATTTGCTAGGTGTTGACTTTATTTTCTTACTGCTGTGGGTGCAGTTATCTTCAGTATAATAACTTCACTGGATTTATCCCGGCATCCTTTTCTGCTCTCAGACACCTGCGGAAGCTGTAAGTACATGCTACCTTGTTCCTCTCTTTTCTCCTTATGTTACAAAGATGATTGCTTCAATCGAATCAGTAAGCAATTCTAGATTTTGCCATCCAATTCAGATCATCTTGTTTCCATTTGATAACATATCCTTCTTACATCACGTTGATATTCTGTATAAATTCTACCAAAAAGATCTAATTGAACATTGTCATTTAATTAATCCAGGTCGGTGATTTGCAACCCCTTGTTGAACAATAAGCAGCCTGATGGATTTTCTAGTAGGCGTAAATGTCAGGTGAAATTTCTGTTATGATGTTCAACTTTTCTTGCCATGTGTGGCGGAAACATAATTTTACTATCCTTTATTATTTCTGAAAATTGAAAAGCCATGGAGGATGTGCTACCCAAGAGTACTATAGCTCACCTGCTGAAGAGTACCAAAGCCCACCTGCAGTTGCCAGTCAGAAAATATTTGTTATTGGTGGTGTCGCTGGAGGATCTTTGGCATGTACTGTTGCACTCGGATTGTTCTTTGTTTGTTTTAACAAACGTGAACGGCGTTCTCCAAAAAAGGACTGCTCTTCTACAACAAGTATGTCTCCTGCTGCTAAAGTCAGATAGTAGATGTCTTGCACCGTGCATTGTTCGATCATGCTGTGCAGTCTTGCATACATCAATAAAATTTCTCTGTACATTTGAAATCAGAAGCCTTTATATTTTCCTATTTGGTGGATGAAACGGACCTTTTGTGCAATGTATAATGTCTAAGATGCCATGTACGATTACCAGAAGCTATATGATTGAGTAAAAGAAAGGAAGCACACCAATGATAATATGCCGTGAAAACCATTTGAACAGAATCATCATTCAATTTTGATTTCAGTGGGAGACTAGCAAGAAGAAAGTAGTGCAAATGTTTCATTCTTCTGTGCATCCATGGCTTAAATACCTAATAGATAAGTCAATGCTTGTTTTACACTGGTCTATGCAGATCCTGTTTTTCAAGAATGCAGCATCGATAACACTACAAACCCTGCAGTACAACAGTTGTCCCTCAAATCAATCCAGACTGCAACAGGCAACTTCAAAACTTTGATAGGAGAGGGTGGGTTTGGATCAGTTTATCGAGGTGCATTAGCAAATGGGCAAGAAGTTGCAGTAAAAGTCCGCTCAACTTCATCGACACAGGGAACACGTGAGTTTAACAATGAGGTACAGACCAATTCTACCCACATTAGCATCATTTTTTTTCTTCTAAAGAAAACTATACTGGCATAAATGAATCTCGTGGGGAAGAGTTTGTTCTTAATCATGGATGTGGCATTTGGCCGTGTCACAATCTTCTCTGAAAAGTTATCTTCAGTTGCTGCTGCCATATCTTGCAAAAATATTCCATAATAACTATATTCTATGATGTGGTCAAATTTTGCATCAACCCTGCTTCTTCCTTTAGTTCTATTCTTTTATTTTTACCATACATATCGGTTGAATAATTTTCCCCTAATCACAAGCGCAGTTAAGACTTCTTTCTGCTGTGTGGCATGAGAATTTAGTCCCACTTATCGGCTATTGCTGTGAAAAAGATCAACAGATATTGGTCTATCCGTTCATGTCCAATGGCTCACTACAAGATCGCCTCTACGGTATCAAGCTTCACATAGTTAAAAAAAAAACAGTTGGAAGACCCTTATTTATAATTTTTTTCATTCTGTAGGTGAGGCATCAAAAAGAAAAGTTCTTGATTGGCCCACGAGATTGTCTGTTTGCATTGGTGCTGCTAGAGGTACAAGTTTTTTTTTTTATAAAAAAACTCAGTCCACTTCAACAATGGGATTGAACTAAATAATATTCATGCAATTGAAGGACATGCCATGTTACTTTATGATCTTACCTTTGCTCTATAAATAATTGAACAGCGTAAATACTTCCTTTTTATTTGTCCATATTACATAATTCACAGCTTGTTTTGCTTGTTCAGGGCTAGTATATCTGCACAATTTTGCTGGGCGTTGTATCATACACAGAGATATTAAATCAAGCAACATACTTCTGGATCACAGCATGTGTGGCAAGGTTGCTGACTTTGGGTTTTCCAAGTATGCACCACAGGAAGGTGACAGCAATCCATCAATGGAAGTGAGGGGAACTGCTGGATATTTGGACCCTGAGTAAGTTCTCTTATCTCTTTCACTTTGGAAACAATGGAAAAGGGCTGAAAGACTGTAAGTTGAAAATAACGGAATAGCGGTGATTTAAATAGATAGAACAATATATTGTTTGGTACGAAAGTTGAGTGAAATTTAAATGTTTTCTATTAACGTGAACATAGCATTATCCTGGGAGTAAGTTGTCCAAAATGACATGGTTCCCATCCATTAGATATAAGTAGATCACTTCCTTTATACCACAATATTATATGTTACTAGTTGATATGCTAGATCATCACCTGTATCAAATCTTTCACATTATGTTCATCATGTTTGGGTGTTGTTTTCTCTTCTTCTAGATACTATTCCACTCAGGTGTTATCAACCAGAAGCGATGTCTTCAGTTTTGGAGTAGTCCTGTTAGAAACTGTGACGGGAAGATATCCTCTTGATGTCAAAAGGCCTCGTGCTGAATGGAGCTTAGTTGAGTGGGTAAGTTCACACTGCACTCTACAATCATTTTTTTTTTAGCAAGCACTCTACAATCATCCATTGTACTTTGTAACATCATCTGTTTGGAAGCTGGCACTACTCTATATTGATCATAGTAGTTTTGAAAAACAAATGATATATTTCAGCTCCAGAGTCCAAAAATAATCTTACGCCCATCTGCGCCATGCAGGCAAAACCTTACATCAGGGAGTACAAGATCGAAGAGATGGTGGACCCTGGCATAAAAGGGCAATATTGCTCAGAGGCCATGTGGAGAGTGCTCGAGGTGGCATCTGTATGTACCGAGCCCTTCTCAACCTTCAGGCCAACCATGGAGGATGTCCTCAGGGAGCTGGAGGACGCTCTGATCATTGAGAACAATGCTTCTGAGTACATGAGGTCCATCGAAAGCACTGGGACTCTGGGTTCCAACCGCTATCTGTCCATTGACAGGAAGATGTTTGCATCAGGGTCGGCGCGAATCGACTCAACTAAGGGACATGTACAAACAATGCCCTCGCTTCCGCGGTAACTAGATGCACATTGTGATTTCATAATGGGCGTCATCAGGGATGTGATCCATGTTCGAGGCACATCTAAGATCTAACCACGCTGAGCCTGAGCATAAACATAAAGGGATCATGTGGTAGTCTGTACCATGTACAGAGCCAATCCAGTGGTGAGAGCACAGATCAGCGACACCTACACTGGGAAATGCTTTCTGAAGCCAAGAGGCTTTGCTAGTTTTGCCTGTTGAGTTTCCATTTATTCGATTTCGATCGCCCAAAAACAGGCCAATGTGTGGGCACAACTATTCTTTGGACCATTAAACACATAAGATATGTGTTGAGGTAACCCCTCAAAAAATATGTTCAGGTGTATGAGCCATCACTTCATTATTTGAACTATTTCTGCATTGAGAAATTGTAGTACTCTTGTTGTAATTCCTCTTCTTGCGTGATAAAAAATAGTTTTCCGATCAACAGTGGGATGATTTTCTCCAAACAAGTATTGTTTGAGCAGGTGCAACTGAAACCTAAGACATTGAAATATGGTGTCTGGGAAAAATGAATCTCGTGAAATTTAGGAAAAAGCAAGTGTAGGTCACAAGCAAGCAAACCTATATGATCATCACAAGAAAGCATTACGCCAAAAATATGAAGCAGACCTATGATCATCACAAGAAAGCATTATGCCAAAATGTGTAGTGTTTCAAAGGAGCTATAGTTTCTAGGTGCCAAAGGAAGAAATAGCTGGTAACCCAAAAGAAAGCCACCAGAAGATGCATCTTGTAGCATACACCAAACTTAGAGGGTAGGGCAGACCCAGTGCCGGAGGCTCCCACATGAGTAGGGCCTGGGAAAGGGAAAAACCGAGGCAAGCCTTCCCCACGCAAAATCTACGGAGAGGCTGCTTCGAACCCGCGACTTGGTGACTCAGTGAGACAGCTCTCACTATTGCACCAGACCTACCCTTCATACACCAAACTTTGACCACGGAAAAATAATTATCTAGACTAGCAAGTAGAAACTCTTAACCTCAAAACCGATCATGAGTATACAGACTTTTCACAAGTACGCAGAGAACATATGCATTTTCACAAGCTTAGAACATTAGGTCTTCTGGGCTTGTCGACAGAGCTACAGTCTCAACTCTCAAGTTTAGTTCAGGTATAGTTCTTATATGGTGCGCTATTACACTTGTTCAGCTACCCCCACATAGTACATGTAATAAAAAGCAAGAGTATAACTCTCAGTAAAGTTTAATCATAAAATCTCAAAGAAAAAGGTAAAAGATTCATCATAGGCTTCCGAACAAGAAGCACATGATTCTATCACATAAAATTTGATAAGCCACTGGAGGATGAAGCGCCGATGGGAAACGAATCGTCGATCACATCTTTGTAGTTCGTTGGTGTCATCTGTTCTTGTTAAGTATCAAGACTGAAATATTTAGGCAATAGGCATGCACAAAACTATAGATGAAACAGAAACCTCAGCTGTATAAGCTTCTTCCATTTGTTTCTCAACAACAAACTAAAGTTTGAACAAGCAGTACCCATGACTTACTGCAGGCTGCATTCTGACCATACCATCACTGCACTCTCTTAACCAGCAGCAATCCATTCAATAAAGGTTGACTAATCCAAAGCTATAGCAGGATATGATCGACCTTACTATCATGTGATCTAAGGTATGCCAAACAATTCATGAACTCCCTTATCAGTAGACTTGTCTGCTCCAAACAAGTCAGGAATACCTTTTTCTGTGGATTTATCAGAGGAGCTGCTGTTAATCATTTGGTACGGAGGATTATTCATCCGCCATCCATTGACATCCATGGGTGGATCGGGAAAACGAGAAGTACATTCTTTGCCTTCAGAAGGAAATGGCAGTGCAACATCAGGTGATCTTCGTGGTCGCCGAACCGGTCTGCTGCTCCTGCTTGAAGATGGGAAAGTTGCCTCCCTGCCCTTCTGTTTGGTCCCAAGAAAGCCACAGGCAAGAGCTTCCAGAGCTCGAGCTGTTGGTGGGCGGCTTCTGCTACTATGTCTTCTTGAGTTGAAAGAAAGCTCATCATAGAGCACATCACTAGAGGCATCTATGTCTGGAAGGCGACCAGTCACCTCCTCAGCTCCTGAAGTACGCTGAGGTCTGACCATGGTTTCTGCATTTTTGTCAGATGGAGGGACGATGTAGCTCACAGTTGACTCAAAATCAGAAGGCATTTGTGGGATATTAAGATCAATGACATGCCTATTTTGGCATGTTTCCTTGTAAACCATTGTTTCAGCATTAGGGGGCACGTTGTCAAGCTGTCTGCAGTACGGTTTCTTGTTATTCACTTCAAAGGAAATGTTAGTTAATGAGCTTGGAGTTGCACCCCATACAAAAGATTTGGGCCCACTTGCTTCATTTTCTCCAGATGCATCATGATGCACTGGCTCGTCAACTTGCTTCCAGTGATGGTTTTCATTGGTGGCGGTATTCTTGCGACCAGTTCTTTCAGTCTTGGATGACACTAACCTCCTCCTTTTTGAAAAAGGTGCTAAGAAAATTTGGGACTCAGCATTAAGCCTTTGATCCAACTGAAAGCTTATTTCAGTGGAAGTAATAGGAGCATGGACCATTTGAAAATCAACAGGAAGAATAGTTGCGTTTGAAGAGGATACATTATTCATTGTGCTGAAACCTTGATCAGTTGAAATATGACCATTGATTGACACTAATGTGCCTGAGGAAGCAGACTTCTGAATTACACTAGAATCCACCTTATCAGCTGTTGGGGGCTTACTTTTTCTCTCCTCACTAGCATACTTTGCATCAGTTGTCCTTCGATCATCAGTAATTATATGTTCATAAGGCTGAGAGCTGTCCTCAGAATCTGAGTGTTCCTCTGAGCTGTCACTCCCAGAACCTCCAGAATGTGGTGAAGACATGTAACCTTGACTGGAATCTGTTGGTAGGTTTCTTAGTGACCTCACCTTAGAAGGTTCTTCCCCTTGAACAAGACTGGTATCCACCACAGTAAATTTCATTAGCTCTGGAGAACACCCAGGCTCAGTGGGACGGCTATAGCATGAAGGTTTCTTGTTAGGAAGTATGTTTCTGTCAGATTCAGAATCATGGCTCCATCCATTTTCATGCTTAATCCCACTGTCATCATTACCACGCTCAACTCCAAATTCAAGCAGCCTTGGTTCAGATGCAACTTTGCTCAAGACATCACTAACAGAATCAAAATAATGATTTCCTTTGACAAGCTTCTTTCTAGAAAATTTCTTTACACCTGGAATCAGAAAGACCAAAGCATGCTTTCCAATTGGTGAAGAATCCTTAGGCTGCTCTGAGTGCCAGCCCCTTGAAAGCAAGCGAGGCCAGACAGCCTCCCAGAATAGATCATTCGATCTTGCCTTGCTCAGTCTGAAATCACCAGTCAAAAACTTTATGATATCTCCAGATGAAAGTGCTGAGCAAGCCTTGCCAACAGGGATTTCTGGGCGTGTTGAGATACCATGATTTCTACTAGGATCTAATGCAAATCCTGTCAGGTCATATTTTCCCTTGCCAACTCCAATTGCGTCTACAAGAACTTGAGCACCAACTGTGGATCTTAAGGTCAAAATAAAGTGCTCAAAAGTAGATGTTCCTTCATTGAAGATCTTAAAGACCTGCAGGAGACCATATATTGTGGTCAGTCACTTGAGAGAGCTGATGGAATTACATCGATGCAATGAGCTGCTAGATGAAAATTCAGGGGTTTCTTAGAGGAAAAGGTGGAAAACAAAAAACTACATTCTACAAAATAAATAAGAACAATCATACTCATGCTAGGTCTTTTTGAAAAGCAGAGAATCATGGTTTTAAAGGCTATACAATGGAACAAATACAGCAGCAATGCTGATGAACTGCGCTGCCCTAAGCATCATTCAAAAAATAAGGATATTAGAATATGTATAGGCCTGTAGCTATCGAACTGATCCTACACATCAGTTTTCAATGGTTTGATTCAGTAGGAAAAAGTAGAGGAAAAGAAAAGTCAACACACCTCCATCAAAGGAGCTTCAACTTCCCTAGCTACACCAGCAAGCAAACGGGACAACAATTCCTGCTGCCTTGGACCAGAAAATATACGCAGCCCAAGAATACACCTCCTACTTCTTGCTTTTCTACATGCAGCCCATCGTCTGTATGCATCAGACCTGAAAAATTCTCCATAGTAGTATGACAAAACTTCTCCCATCGTCTTAGTTTCAGTAAATTTTGTCACCTGGACAAGATTTTTCCCAAAAATGTAAAGACCAAGAAGAAAAGTCTGTGCCTCTTCATCAGTCCAGGAGTATCTTGGCATCCCAGGCAATGGAAAAGAATCATTGAGTTTCCTATTTACACAAGAACCACCTAAAAGCTTCCTTTTCTGTAAGCAGTGCATGTCTTGTCTAGCAGATCCTGATAAATTCTCAACTTGTTCAGCAGATTCAACTTTACAGTTTAGACACTCTGAACAAACACCATGTTGATACAAATTTTCCGGAACATTTCCACTGTTGTTGTTGGAACCTTCATCTTGTGAAGGAGATGAACTGTGTCCTGAAAATCCCCTCCGCTCTTCTTTTACATGACTGCTTCTATTTTGGGTCCATGTGACTGGAATAGCTAATCCTACTCCCACAGGGTACTCAAAGCCAAACGCCATGCTGTCATAAACTGTTGATGACCTTAGTTTCATCTTTTCCTCTACAGTTAGTAGATCTGGAACTTTCACCTGGTACTCATCCCCTACACGAGGGTATACCCGTGTGTCTTCGTTGACCTCCTCTGGACATAAAGGTTCTAGAAAACGAGGCGGATCAACAAGCATCTCTATCGGATGCTCTTCATCATCCTTGATTTCAATGGGTTCCATCTGCACGGAAGCAATTGGAGTACAGGATTAGGATCCATGATGGCTAATGCAAAGATGATTGATAGAACATAAATATGCAGAACGAAGATATCTACCTCATAATCTTCTTCTTTCTTGATTTCAAGAGAATCCATCTGTGAAAAAAAGTACAGGTTCAAAATCATATTAACCATCAGTTAGCGACCAGACTTGCGTGCATATCATAAAAACAGGAAAAATATAACCCTAAGACAAGTCTGCAATACATGAAGTGTGAAAAATGTGGAGGGGGGAATCAACTTAGTCATACTATAAGGGCAGCTCCAACAATTGCCTTTTAAGCTAGCTCTAAGCATTTTTCTCATATTTTAATAGAAGAGAGAGAAAAGCTAGCTCTTGATCAAGAGCTAAGCTCTTGCACACATTTCAAGGTTGTGTGAGAGTGTCATGTGGGGCTATCCATGTTAAAAGCTATGTGCTAAAAGTTAGCACTATTAGAGAAGTTGGCTTAGAGCTAGTAGCTAGCTCTGATCATTGTGGGTGCCCTAGAGGACTATTAGAGACTACACATATCTCTAATAAGGACCAGTGGGAGCACAAAATTAGCTTTAGCAGGACCAAAATTCCAATGGACAACTTGTGCATCAGTGTACTCAGCAATATAGGTAAAATGACAAGAAGTGCAGAATAACACGTGGCACTTCACTCAATGACATGTGGGCCTGACCTTTATTTTAAATGAACAAAAACTTCCAAATTTGCAATGCTGTTTTATGCCATAAATAAACCATATACCAAAATGAGATTTAAACACACAAGTTAGACGTCATGGAAAGCATACATGGTTCCTGCATTCCAACATTTCCAACTTCTAAACATAAACAGTATACTATGCCGATGGAGAAAAACCTTCTACCGCTCTAAATAAAAACTAAAATGGCAGCATTTTGCAGTCACCCCCACCAGCAATTTGCATTAGCAGTGAAAGCAATTGCTGACTAGGCTTGATCCACCGATCAGTATAAAAAAAGCTAACGAACAATTTCTCTCTATCAATCTCACACCAGCCAGAAGAAAACTTAAACGTCGGACATGGTATTCAATTGATCCCCCAATTTTTTTCGAGTTGGAAACTGAACTGCATCCGCGCTTCGGGACCAAGTTGTACGGTGTCAAGTGAGATCGATCTCGCGAGCTGACGAATAAGAGCCTAACCGAACCATCAAGGGATGGATTGGATTAGTAGCGTCTCACGAAACAAGCAAATCCGATGCTAACCGACGGAGAGAACTAACGAAGATGCGGATTTGATTGGTCGAAGCAAAGATGAGATCCCGGACAAGACAATTCTTAGAACAATACATCTAAGCAAGCTATGGTACTTTTACCAGCAAATGGAATCAGTCGCGGGTCCGGACGGATCTCCAGTCCACGCCACTAGAATACAGAGGCACAACGACGACGAAGATGAAGATGAAGGATTATACTTGGAAGCGGCCAGCGTGCTCGGCGTCAGGATGCCGGAGACGCGGCCACTGGTGAAGTGGACGGCGGCGGCGCTGGCGCGGGCGCTGCCGAAGTGGTGAGGAGGTCGATGTGACGGTGAGTCTGTGAGAGTTTGAGAGATGCTTTGAGACAAACCAAACCAGACGGGGGCAGCCGGGTGGAGGTGGACCCCAAGCGCATTACGGGCCGGGTTGGGCTGGCAAAAAAAAAAGGGGAAGTTTTGGGCCTGTTGAATGCGCCTGTGCACCTTTGTTTGAGTACTTTCTTTTAGCCAAGGTTGTACGTGGAAAGATTCTGAAAGATTATCAATCAATTCAAGATAATGATACGTACAATGTTTAATGCATCATATGTGAGTGAATTATATATATTTTAAATTTCTGTTAACTATTACTACTACATGGAACATATATTCTGGTTAAAACATTGTTATAAAAGTTGCAAGTTTTTTTTTACTCTAGCACTAGATTTTGATTTTTAGTGCCAAAATAATAACTGTAGCACGTGAGTGAAGCAACCATCGCTAGCACTGAGACTCTTCACCCCCCCTCCTGCCCTCTTTTTTGACAAACATTTTCATGTGCATAATAATTGTAAGCAGGACATAATTTCATTTTGCTATGGGGAGCTGCTATTTTAAGAATTTTGCTACAAGACACCGCTACAGTGAAAATTGGCTAGCGGACGATGTCATTCATGGTGCATTTGTTGTGTGTCCTGTAGCAATAGCTACACTTTTAACAAATGCACACAGGATGGTAATGTTTAGTGGGCAAAATTCCACTATGTATCGTTTTTTTCCGAAAAGCACTATGTATCGCTGGGCAGAAGTAAACAAAAATTGTTCCACAGCAAAAAAAATGAATTATATATAAAAAAAATATGTTGGTTAAGTGGTCAAATAAAGAAGATGATGGTGGACGTGGGTGCCTGCCTGCCTGCCTGGTGTGGTCAAACTTTAGGAAGAAAAAATGTCTTCTCTGAAATTTAAACTAAACAGCCGGAAACTTGCAAAGATTTATCCAACAGGGCAAAATAGTGCGAGTGTGCGACGGATACAAAAGTCACCATACCTGCCCAACAGCCTAAACACCATGAAAAACTGTACAAAACTAGCAAAATATATCACATGCGACGCAACAAAACAAGTGTCGACGTCAGCGCCGAACATCCCCGTCTGGGATTAGAGGCACGGGAGGACAAAAGGAAAACTGTTAGCGACTTCAACAATGTCATCCAGTAGCATCTACAATGCTTCTAACTCCGTAATACGTCTGAGGTCCTTCTAACAATTGCTTTTGCCTTTCCGCACTCCATCGTTTCCTAATGCACGGTTTTTACTAGGTTCAAGGAGAAAATCTTTATACTAATCATGGCTGCATTTTCATCAGGGTAGCAAAGGGGAGGAAAACAACAACGACTGCATTTTCCAGTCACCCCCCCACCAAAGCATTAGCATCCCCGCTGACAGCTATTGCATGTTGCGCTCGATCCACTAATCACTTTATCAATCCTCGCAAGTAAGGCACCGATTCAGTCGATGCCCCCCAAATTTTTCGCGAGCAGCAAAGCGAATTGCGCCAAGTCATAAGGGAGTCAACAGAGATCGATCTTGCGCGTCGGGAAAACAAGAACGAAATCAAGCCATCAAATTAACACCAATGGATGGATGGATTAGACCACTAGCGTGTCGCCAAGCAAAGAAATCCAAGTTTTATATCACCGATGGGCTGGACGGACGAGAGATGCGGATTCGATTGCGCACACAGAGATGAGATCCCACGCAACACAGTTCAAGTAACCATCCATCGAAGCAAGATGAGGAGCCTTACCAGAAAATGGAAACGGCCGCAGGCCCGGACGGATCTCCAGTCCACGCGGTTCGGCTGAGAGGGCAACGACGAAGACGAACCTTGAAAAGATGCCAATTACTTCGAGATGGATGACGTGCTCCGGCGGTGGGATGCCGGAGATGCGACCGCTGGCGAAGTGGACGTGCGGCGGCGATGGCGCCTGCCTGGCGTGGCGCGGGCGCTGCCGAAGTGCAGAGGAGGACGATGATGGTGTGTGTCTGTGTGAGACCGTGTGAGAGATGCTTTGAGGCGAAACGGGGCAGCACTAGCAGGGAGGAGGTGTGGACCCAGAGAGTTGAAGCGGGCTAGGCCGGGCCAGTAGAAAGCCTAGTGATATGTTGGTCTTATAAAGGCCTCGCTGGACCGTCCTGTTACATTACTGGGCCTGGTTTGTAAGGCTGGGCTATAAATTTTGAACTCTTTCGCTGCCGTCTCGATCAACCTCTCGTAATTCCTCCGTCTCAGTTTTCTCTTTTTTTAAATACTTCGTCTATATTGCAAGGCATGTGATTTTGTTCGACATTACCAGCCTTATCTCTGAGAGTTCCCTAATTCCCTTTCTAATCCTTAGTTTTTAGCAAGATGAGATAAAACGCATCTCCAACAACTCATAATCCATCCTCCTAATCTTTTAGAACTTGGAAAAAGTCACACTGTTCCGCGTAAAGTTACTCGCTTCCGAGTCGTGCGTATCTTCTCTCTCCCACGCATGTTTGTCGGCAAATATAAAGGTGAAAGGACGTGGAAAGAATAAAGACTAGGAAAGGGTTCCTGATACAAATGTACAAGAGAGAAAAAATATATAAAAGTGGTTAGGATCATTTAGAAATAGTATATGATTCCTGATGTAAAATTATCTTCTAAATTTTAGGAGTGGATTATTAGAAACTCTGAGAGATGGCCTTCTTTATTCCTTCCAATATTTTTTTATGAGTCGTAAAACTTCATGTTTTTAAGAAGAAAATATTGAGTACTCTTGGACCTCCTAACACACTTCATTCCCTAAATACTCCCTTCCATCCTATAAAATATAAATTATCCTAGGATTAAAATTTATCCCGAATTATAAGGTATTCTAGATTATTTGGTGAATCTATAACTATTTCTTTTTTAACCTCATTCGTACATGTATCCGTGCATACCTTTTAAACATTGTCTTGAGCAAAATAATTCCTATAATTGGTAGCTAAAAACAATAACAAGCATGCATGCTTTTTAAAATTGTTTGGAGAAAAATAAGCAAGTTGACAACCAAACTAATAACTAATTAGTGAGCAACAAATTAGTATTATGCCAGACTCCTTATTTGATCTAAAAATATTGCTTAAGATACCTTATATTTCAGGAGAATAAAAACTTTCGGTACCCAAAACCTAACTACTCCCGCGGGGCATGCTAAATTGCTAATGGATAAAAAGTAGCACCCATTGGGTATTGGTACATACTACCCACATATGTGTGTACCCTTGTGTAATCTATATATACTCATTTTCAGCTGCATATATGTCTTCATTGATTACTATGAAATGTACATATATCTAATGGACTTACGACTATTAGACCATTAATTGGTGAAGTTTTGTTTCTATGTTGTTATTGTTTGATTTCTATTCATAGACATTCAATGATATATATTTTAATATACGATATATTCATGTTTATTGTCAAATTGTCTATAGTGGCTATGCATTTGGGTGTGTGTTACCTATTGGGTATTTTTACCCACGCGATGTACGGGTACGGTAAAATCTACCCGTGCTCGGGTAGCTATATTTTAGCGGGTAGAATTTTGTTTAGTAGGTACGGTAAAATCTTTTACTCATCAGGTTTATATTCGTTGTCATCTCTAAGTCCACACCTATAGAATCGTAAAAGCTTGGTTCTTGGTGAACGCGACGACGAGGGGTTGGTGCCATACCGAGTTGGTGATGAAGTCCCGATAGTCAAAAAGTAATCGTAATAAACACATGAATCTATCGACGAGATCCCCTACTTGATATACCAACTGGTGTGTTTTTTACCACCGGTATGTAATTATGGGTGTATTAGACGTAGCAGATCTAGATGGTAGCACGTAATATAATAAAGTTGAGTATATTTAACTCTTGATATGTAAGAACGACGCTTAAAAGGGACGGAGGGTGTAGTCAGTTACAAAGTAGACCCAATCTAATCAATTTACATGTATATCTAGTTATGCATTTTACTTTAAAAAGTAGATGATGAACCACCGGTATTTATCATGTTCGGCCGTTCGGCTCGGCCTACCGATCGTTCCAGGGATCATTTTTAGCCTCCATGGTGATACTCGTAACTCGTGCGCCATTCATTTATTCGTCAATGATTGTTTGTTTATTTGCTTGATTAAAGCGGGTTACGGAGGCGCATTTCTTGAGGTATTGGATGAATGCCTGAGTTCGTTTTAGAAGCATTTCTTGAGGGATTGGATGAATGTTTGGAAGGGGAACATGTGCAGGCAGATACGTTATTGGAAAGAGAAGAGGCCGAGAAGAGTCGATAGGAAGTAGAAAGTGTGTGTTGCCGCATCCAACGGATGGAGAGATGGACCACGTGACATGGCTAATGAAAATATGAAGAAATAGATTAGCGGCGGTTTTCTACATGATTACCAAGTAATATCGATTCATATTTTTTATAATATATTTATTTAAATTTATAAATAATTAAAATTTTAATTATAAATTTAGTAAAATTTAGAATAACTTAACTATAAACAAACCTAGAGTCACGTCACGGATTCATTGGAAGAAGGTTATTGGGATATGTGAATTCTTTAGGATCCATCCCCAAAGGAACCAGACATGAGAATTTTTCATCATCCGGCTCGAGCAAGAATGAAAGAAATAAGGCCGTGGAGGATCCACAATAGAATAGGGTATATAATGACTCAAGGTAAGAAAAGCTTTATCAAATTATCTTTTCCGAAGTTACGCCTATAACTACTCATTGAAAAGAATCATATTCTTATGCTTAAATGCTCAATATCCAAGTGGGCTTACAAATTTGATCATGATCAATTGATTTGTGGATTGTCTCTTGATTAGTTGGTGTTTATCCCCTCGATATCACAAGTTTCTTATGTCCAAACAACATCTACTGCTTAACCTGTTATCTAGTTTTCCTCGTCAACGTACAGCCAAGGGCCGGTTTGGTATAGATCATCTTCATCGGTGAACCAGCTTTTTGTGACTATCGATATAGCTAAAACTTAAAGGATGAAAATGATACAATGACTATTACACCCTTCTATGCTTTTTCTCTTTTTTCTTCTTTTCATTCTCTCCATTCTTCCTCGCGTCGCTCTTTGCTCTCCCCTCCCGACCCCTCTTTTCGCCACAACGACGCCTCCCTCCACACCCTGCTCTCCACGGTGCTGCCTTCGACGCCCTGGCCACACTGTCCCTCCCTCGCGCCTCCACCTCTCCTCGTCAGCATCACCCGTTCTTGTCGGGCGTGATAGCCCCCCCCTCGCCTCGTCGGGCGCGACACCTCCGCCTCTCCTCGTCGGCATGACCCGTCCTCGTCGGGCACGACACATCTACCCTCTCCCATCGGCCTGGCCTATCCTTGGCAGTGTGGCGTCTCTGGTGGCACAACCCCTTCCTGCGCGGACGCGTAGCCTCCGCCCCTCCGCGTGCGGCTCGCCGTCGCTCCTCCACACGCTCGTCTCCGACCATGGGGGAAAAGCAGACCATGGCGGAGATGGACCCCACCAGACACGGAAGAAGCTAGGCGAATCTACACCCTGTTCGCTTGATAGTATCAGTCATGCACATCAGCCGACTTATAAGCCACAGAAACAATCAAACGGACGGGTTGCTATAAATTTTGGCTCCTTCTCTCTCCTCCTTGTCTGAGCTAAAATTTCGAGGCTCACGGCATGAAGCTAAGCGTGCGGAGGCTGTTTGGTGCAGAACGACTTTGAAAGGATCAAATATTCTCTAACACACGGTATGGTGTTCGTGTATCACTATGTCACGGTAGAACCAATGTAGCGTATTATGAAGCAGATATGAATGTACGATGTGTACGTAGGGAGGTACGAGTTTGACATGTCTTTCAACATAAACCATTTTTTTTTTAAAACGGTCAATAGAAGGATTTGATTGCTGCTCCACGCCTCCACCGTATATTATGTTTGACCGTAACGCTAAACCCGTTCGCGTTTCCGTCGCCGCCTCGCGACCGTTTCCATAATTCCGTTGCTCCCGTCTCGACTCATCTAGTCCCATTCCCACCCCCGGCCCATCACGGACAGGTGGGCCCAACCTCGCAGCCCCGAGATTTGACCGCTGTTCTTGGCTCCGCTGCGGGGCCCGCTGTCACCCTTTCACCGCTCCCGGACCTCACCAACCCCGCATCCAATCCACCTCCGCGGCCCACTCGAGAGCCCGTCGCGTCCGCCCGTTCCCCTGGACCGCGCCCACCGTGCTCCGGTCCACGGCCACGTTTGTCACATTCGTGCGCGTCTGAGAGCGGTCCACAGACCCAAGTCCAGGCAACGCCACCGACGACCTCTCCGCCGCCGACCTCTCCGTACCGCGACGGAGATGCAATCGAGGCTTTCGGCGCCGAATCTCCCGTCCACCACCTGTCCGAACGATCCCTGGCCGTCCGTGTGGCCTGGCGACGGCCGGATGGGGCTCCAGCGCGGCACGTGGCGGGCGAGCAGCAGCAGCCACCCCCTGGACCCTACCGCGACCCGAGCGGCCAGCACCGCGCACCGGCACGGCACCCGACTGTTTGAATCCCGCGCGGGCCCCACTCGCAGTAAATTCTCCTGCATAAATCTTGGACCACCCCGCCTCATACACTTGTTAAATTATCTCCATGACAAGCGGGCCTACAGAACTCCTTGACCCACTTGTCGGTGAGCGTTTTAGGACAGCGGACCCGACGAAGCAGGACGTGGTGCCCGAGGAATAAGACAAGTTAACTCCATCTCACCACCGCCAGTAAACTGCGAGTCCTCCCATCCTTGCTTTGTCGCCCTCTCTCTCTCTCTCTCTCTCCTCCCAGCCATCCTCCTCTCACTGCCGTTCCCCAAGCCCAAAGCAGCCTCGGCTTCTCTTCTCTGGAGGGACAGGGGGGCGGCCGCCGGCGTCGACCTTCGCGAGGAAGGAGAGGAGGCCGTTGGATCCCGCTGGATTCGATTGGATTGGATTAGGACGGGATCACCGCGGGCAGGTAAATACTGCTCATTAATTGCTTTCCTTCCTCGCGTCGATCCGGCCTTTGAATCGCGAGATTGCTCCCGGTTCTAGCCGGATTGGATAACCGATTTCTTTCCAAGGGGAGGTACTTCGATTCTTGGAGCTGGTTTCTCCTCCTCGTTTCCATTTTCATGCTTTCCTTGTTTGATGATTTCTTGATCTCGTTTCGAAGTTATTACTATATATATCCGGGGCCCCGTCTTGCTGAATCTAAGTCCTCGCCGTCGTTGCAGATGCGCTGAGCTCTTGCCGTGTGCAGTGAGCGATGGGCGACCTTGCTGATCTCGCGGGTGCGGGCGAGGCGGCGCGTTCGCATCTCGCCGCCGCCGGCGGCGGCGGCCAGCGGGACAGGATGGCGGCGATGCTGGAGCTCGCGGCGGCCGACGACGCCGCGGGGTTCCGCGAGGCGCTCGCGGGGGGAGGCGCCCAGGGCGACTCGGCGGAGCTGGCGGACGGAGTGGGGCTGTGGTACGGCCGAAGCAAGGCGTACGAGCCACGCACGCCGCTGATGGTCGCGGCGACTTACGGCAGCGTGGAGGTGGTGTCGCTGCTGCTTGGCCTGGGATGTGTCGACGTCAACCGGCGCCCTGGCGTCGACGGCGCCACCCCGCTGCACTGCGCCGCCTCCGGTGGCTCGCGGAACGCCGTGGCCGTCGTCAAGCTGCTCCTGGCTGCCGGCGCCGACCCGGTAACCCCGGACTCCGCCGGTCGCCTGCCTGCCAACGTCATCTTGTCTCCTCCTGCTTCGCCCGACGCCTTGGGCGATCTGGAGATGCTCCTTGGCCGCCGCCGAGGGCTCGCTGTCGCGACCTCGGTGCCATCGCGCTCGTCGTCCCCGCCGCTCTCTTCCTCGCCGGATGAGGACAACAGGTCGCCATCCTCGCGGTCGTCTTCGTTGTCCCCGATTACCGTGGACCGTGCCAAGAAGGAGTATCCGGTGGATCCGACGCTGCCCGACATCAAGAGCAGCGTGTATGCCTCCGACGAGTTCCGCATGTTCGCGTTCAAGGTGCGGCCATGCTCCAGGGCCTACTCACATGACTGGACAGAGTGTCCGTTCGTGCACCCTGGCGAGAACGCCCGCCGCCGGGACCCCCGCAAGCATCCATACACGGCAGTTCCCTGCCCCAACTTCCGCCGCCCTGGCGGCTGCCCCAGCGGTGATAGCTGCGAGTTCTCCCATGGTGTTTTTGAGAGCTGGCTCCACCCGTCGCAGTACCGCACAAGGCTCTGCAAGGAGGGCGCAGCTTGTGCCCGCCGCATCTGCTTCTTCGCCCATGATGAAGATGAGCTCCGCCATGTGCCTCACAATAGTGGTGCAGGTCTGCTGTCTCCCCGTGCCTCTTCATCCATTGACATGACTGCTGCTGCTGCTGCTCTTGGGCTTCTACCTGGATCTCCTACCAGGCACTTTGTGCCACCACCTCTGTCACCATCTGCCTCCAACATTGGTGGAGGTGCTGCTGCTCATTGGCTCCAAGGTAGCAGGCTACGATCTTCTTTCAATGCAAGGGATGCACAGGTTGATGACCTTGTCGCGCTCCTGGAATGGGAATCACAATACCTTGGAGCGCTCAGTCTCCCACAAAGCAGCCGATCCCAGGCCCGCCTTTCTACTGGTCTGAGTATTCGTCCAACAGCAATTGCTCCATCCAACCTTGAAGAGATGTATGCTCCAGACATGGCTATGTCGCCAAGGTTCACCAATGACCAAGGTCACTCAGTCTACTCACCAGCACACAAATCAGCCCTTCTAAACAAGTTTCATCAGCAGCAAAAGGGCCTTTTGTCGCCTGTCAATACCAACAGGATGTACTCACCTAGGGGTCTTGATCCATCAATTCTCCATTCTCCATTTGGTGGCATGTCTCCTCGGTCGCCTCGGACTATGGAGCCAACATCTCCCCTAAGTGTCCGTGTTGGAGCTACGGTTACACAGCGTGATATGTTGGATCAGTTCTCTTCCCTGAATAAGCATCAAGTGCCAACTGTGGGATCGCCACGGAATCTTAATGCCTCATGGGGCAACATTGGTACCCCAAAGAGTAAGGTCGACTGGGGTGTTGACGACGACGAACTAGTCCGCTTGAGGCACCCTGTGCAACCTGGAAATACAGCAGAGGAGCCAGATGTGTCTTGGGTGCAGTCACTGGTGAACCATGCTGAGCTGAATGGCAAGAGGGGTGAAATGGCAGGTATGGCTTCTCGATCGATTAATAGGCCTAACCTGAGCAGTCAGGGTGACTCACTGGATCAGAGTGTTATTGCTTCTTGGCTTGAGCAGCAGATGCACTTGGAGCCGAAGTAACGGTCAAAGAGGCCTTTTGCTCTCAAGGTGGATGAAACCATCTTTTTGCCGAGTTAGTTTCCGAGAAGAATAGTTATTTGTCCTAGTAAATAATAATATTCTTTTTTATTCTTGAAATTTTTGTTCGCAAAGTCAGAGATGGTGGTCTTCAGGAAAGCATTTGCTCACAGATTGGTAGCTGAAAGCAGCTGTCGAGAATTGGTAAACAGCCTCGTTACCTTGGAGGTCCTAACTAGTATTCTTTTGATTAGTTCAGATGAGGTAAAAATTCATATGGTCCACCGTGAGTCAATAGTAATTGTGTTGATCTCTGTAACAAGAGAGGTTATAGATTTTTCCCCCATTTATCAATGAACAATTTCATGAATACATTGATGATTCCAGTTTATTTTTCTTCTGAATACATTATGTTTTTTCCTATTTTCTACCATGGAAAATTTGTATCCGTGTCAATTATATATTATAAAGTCCCAAATTTGGACACAAATCTTGCCATGCAGGACTGTGGAAACAATTTGCCCAAGTGTATATGAAATTATTGGTACCACAGCAGTTCCCAGTGATGCTCTTATGTTCTGTCGTAATGATTTTAATAAAGAAACTTGCATTTCATAAGCATTTTGTGGAAATTGAAATGTCCAGATTGTATAAGTTCTTATTTTGCGTTAAAAACATTCATGGGTCGTTGCAACCGATATCTGGTACTTCCAGACTACGGTGTAGTAAACTATCATTTTTTTTAAAGAAAAGTAGTAAACTATCATTGACTAGATGTCTCCCGAATTAGTAGAAAAATTGGGATATGGTTCAACTTGTTTCTGTGTGAGGTACTGAGGTGCATGACATGGCCTGTTCTTCGCTTAACAAAAGATTAGTCAAGACCCAAAAGGGCAGCCGGCTTCCCAACAGAAAGGTGGTCAAAAGAAGCGCAACCGTTTTGGTCCGTAGCAAGTTCGTTCAACTGTCACGTGGCACCGTGTCAGCAAAGTTTGCTACGATCAGCAATGCATTTTGCAGCAAATTGATAACCATGGTGATCCAGTGCATCTACATTAATCTATTCACATATACAGATATACTACTACAAGCACAAGTGATGTGCTGTTTATCCAAACAAGCTTCTAGTGGAAACAAATCTAGGGGCCAATGAAATGGAAATGGAACTGCATACACAGCTCACAGCTCAAGTCATTTTTGTAATGTAAACGGCCAATGGATGCTGCAAATTTGTCCAACACCCATTTTTACAAGTAGGTATGGAGGAGTATCTAGCTAAAGCTAAAACATAGTTTCCAAATTTAGCTCTTCATTCAGGAGCAGTCGTATTCACAGTCCAAACAAACTGGGTGACCTCAACGGTCAGTTTCCGAAGCACACCCAACCAGATGGCATTTGCTGCAGAGATGGCAAGTTCAGATCCCGACACACCTGCTTCCCCCCGGCTCAGTTGGATTTGCACCTTCAGCCTCATGTGATTCTTCAGGTTGGTCGAACCTATTTATCCCGAGTACTAGTTTGCTGTCTCATGCCACTCTTGACGCGGACTCTACCGTGGGTTTTATGGTCATTTATTACTCTTCTATTTATTATATTTTACTAACGTGGTGTTGTATTTAGGGCTCTATTTAGATTCCAAAAAATTTTGCGTAGTATCCATCACGTCGAATCTTGCGGCACATGCATAGAGTACTGAATGTAGACGAAAAAAAAACTAATTGCACAGTTGGGTGAAATGTGAGCGAAAAAACCTAATTAATCTAATTAGACACTAATTACAAATGAATCAAAAGTCTACTTAGCCAAAATCTTTTTTGGATCTAATTACCGAAGGAAGAGAGTCAAAACTCAAGAAACCGCGTGTTTAGTTTAAAAATTTAGGGCTAATGTGTAGCGCGTTATTAAATATAAACGAAAATTAGGCTCAAAACGTACATTTCTAGTCAAAATCTAATTTTTTTTTAAATCTTTACGCTTTATTGCTAAAGGAAGAGAGTCGAAACTCAAGAAACCGAGTCTAAACATAGACTCGACGTCTTCACGTCTACCAATGTCCCTGGGACGCTCCCGCACGCGCTGCCGCGATCCCGTGCGCCCGCTTCTTCCCTGGCGCCCCCTGTCGCGAACTCCTGCATGCGCGTTCGCAGGCCGTCGTCCAGCTCGTGCGCGGCCGCTTGCCCAGCGCCGCAGCTCTCCTGCACGCGCGCACTCGCAGGCCGCCGCCGTCTCCCATCGGCAAAGTGGAGGTGGAGATGGAGCCGTCCGCCCCTGAGATCGAATCGAAAGACTTGATCCGTCGAAAGCTAACATGCATGGAGATGGATCGAACGTACGTACCTGTGTTGATGAGCCATGGCTACGCCTGTGGTGCTGCTGCTTTGCATTTGCTTCCCGATTAATCCAATCCAAAATAATCCCTCCATGGTACGGTGCGCTCGGCTTCACCCAGGCCGCCGCCCTGACCTTGCGCATGCCGTCGCCCTGCACCGCCGCCCGCACGGAACCTCGTGCAGCCTCGCCCAGCAGACTCGCGCGGCTATCCCAGCGCTGCTGCAGTGGCCACACGAAGTTCCCGTCCACACCGGATGAGGAGGAGAGACAGAAGCAACTAGAGAATGGGAGAGAGGAGTAACGAATGATTGGGTCTGCATCGGGAAATATGGTTATGGGTAATATCTATGACGTAAAATCTTGTGACGTTTAGAAACTTCTACCCAGTTTTTTCACTCTCCGCGCTTTTTAGAGTGCCCTCGACCAAAATGTAGCTAAAAAAGAACTTTGTCGTATTTTTTAAATCACGAGATGAATTTTTTCTCATTATTGGTCCATCGCCTGGACAATATTTTCAAATAAGGCGAAAGTGATTATTCATCGGGTTGAAATTTCTTTCAATCTAAACAAGGCCGTAGTTTGATGCGAGTAGCATTCGAAAACGCCCCCTAGCTTGGCAAACAATTTTTAGTCATGGTTTATCGGTGATGAGGCCACACAGTAGCAAAGGGCACAATTGCAACTGTGAGGCAAAGGGGACAGCTAGGAGAATAGAGACCTGTTTGCTTCTCAACCTGACAAAGGTGCTTGGACCAGGCAATTACCCAGGCTGTGGATTTCTAGTGCCTGGCGGCCGGATCGATCTGCGGCGAGCATCCCCAGGCCACGCCGCGAAACAAACACGCCCTAGATATGTAGAAAAGAATATAATCTTTATTTTGCGCTCATGCGTCCCTTTAGGTTCCCAAATCCCAATGCACGGTTTCTAATCAACACTTAGGTGCCGTTCGGCTGGTGCATTTTTCAGCCGGAATTCACTGTTCATGGCTGAAATTCACTATTTACGCTTCTCACGAATTCCTCCAGATTCATCCAGATTCCTCCCAACGAACAGAGCCTTATAATAGATTAGTTTACTTACATAACAAATTAATATTTTCTTTTGTTCCATGAATATATCCCTTCTGTGCATGTCAGCCTTTTAATCTATCTCTTTCTATAAATAAATGCCCACAAATATCTCTAATTAGTTTATCATCTTGATTAGTTTCCTTACATGGCTGGTAGACTTCATTCATTTCATGATTCATGTTGAGGGCACAAGCAGATAAATGTACTTGTTCTTTTTTTTTACTTCTTTTTCATGCATAATTACTTCACTTCGTTACACCTTATCACTGATTTTTTCCATTACACGGTTTGCAAGCCATGTCAAAACATGTTTTTTCTCGTTATTTGTCAACTGATTACTATGTGCAGAACCATTTTTACTATTTAATGTAATCAACCATTTACACCCTAGACAACATAGTATGTTGCCAAGTAAAGTTTACATGACATATACGCAATTGTTTACAGCAACACTGTCTAAACCACACAACTTGCATCCCTTCTCCTCATGCAAAAAAATCTCAATAACGATGTGCATATTGTATTGTGTTGCTGTATGACAACCATAAAAATTCTCTAATATTCAGAGTTAGAGCACTCCAAATGCCTATCATTCTTTAATCAATATACATTATGAGTTTGCCATTTCTCTCTAATAGCCAATGAACTGCTCTCTCCATCTTGAAAAACAATGTATCCAAGCAATTTTAGGATCACATAAAGAGTTTGGCAAAAATACTAGCCCTACCCTCACTAATTAGTCAATTCAATTATTAACTTGCTTAATTTCTCCTCCCATCATTGACTTGTCATATAATTTTCCACTCAAACACACACACACACCAAACAAGAGATATGAATTCCCTCTTCAACTCCCCTTCTTATTTCCCTCTACTAACCAAATAAAAATTCACACCTTAATTTCTCCCGCCAACTCGCGCCACTAATTTCTATGCTGCCAAACGCATTGCAAGATCGATGCCAGTCCTAAACTGATAGACATGGGCTGGAATCAGCCGTGCCCATGACACAACAGGGCCAATGGGCCTAGGCCGTAATAAGGCCTATATAACTGTCTAACACTAACAATAATGACATTAGCTTTCCTAAAAAAAATGACATTAGCAACAAAAAAATGTAAATGGATCAGGCACGTGAGTATATCATTTTGTTCAATGAAGTTTTGTTTTATTCTAGCCGTTCAGAATAAATTTTGAGGACATTACGTTTTTGGGAAATGTTTTTATTTTTGAGTTCGAGTTGAACATTCAAGCACTTAATTTTGTTAGCATAATCAAAATTGATACAAATCAAATGCGATGTTCACTGTAATTTTCCGGTGCGGTCGAGATTTGCGTGCTATCAAACTGTTGTTAGGTAAAATTTTCAAAAGCTCCTCATGGAAAGAATGAATTTCACAGGCAGTGCAAATCTCTACAAAATTTCCTCGGAACCCCTCCATTTTCTATGTGCCCAGATTAGCACCTTCAGTGCCACTTAGAGCAACGAGGCACCATATAATGCACAGTTTTAAGGCATTTCAGCCCTGAACACACTTTTAAGGCATTTCAGCCCTGAACACAGACCGAACATGAGTTCGGATAAACAAGTATTGCCGCTCAAAAAAAAAATTGCAGGTAGCCAAACATACAAACAAACACATCTGAGGAATGAAAATCAATTGCAGTATTGTTCGAATGCTATTGTACCAGCTGGTCCTATGATAAGAATTACACAGGACCCTATACAACTGTAAGTAGCCATTTAAAAAAACCACCCTTCTTGAATCCTGTAACTTATCTAGTAAGCACCTATCTGAACAGATTCAGATCAGAGTGAATAAAAGCGGTGTGGGATATGAATGGGACATCAGGATACATTCCACAAAGAGCACACCGCAAACACTCGAGCACTGTGAAGATCTGTATGAATGCGATAGACATCCAGAAGTACTGCATTGGCTTCCCCTGATAAACGATGCTTGGCATCCAGGTACACATGGTGGCCACCGCTTGGGAACCAGTGTCCAGAAGGATTGCTAGGATCACATGGAACCTCAGAAAGTGCGGCGACCACTTCCGCCTCACAACGAAGAAGTACACAGTCATAAATATCACCAGAAAGAGCCACCCAGGACAGAGAGTCATGGTATCGATGAAGGTGTACAACAGCGAAAACCCCTGCAAGTAAGTGTGCAGCTGGTAGATCACGTCGGCATAAGACCACATGTTGTGCAGTGGCAGCAAGTACGGCACACAAGCTAGAGTTCTCCACCACCATCTCGGTTTGGATGTCAGCTCAGGGTAGCTGAAAGATGCCAGTGAGGATGCCCGACAACTAACAGACCTTGGATGCTGATTGTGCTGTCTTGATAGTGATGGGATGTCCCTGACAGAATTCTCCCTCGGGAATGATGTAGGCATGCCATGATGAATGGAATCAGTACCAACTGAAAAACACAAACAATAATGAAAATCAAATCCATTATAGTAACTAGGGACAATAATCAAAGAATGTGACAATGGAACTATAGATAAATCCTGTCCATTAAATAAATCAGTATACACAACACTTGCAAAATGGTTTAATTTCCAATGTCATTCTAAACACAAAAAAGTACCAATGGAGATAACTAAACCAAGGCTCGAACTCCATATCATGTATATATCTTGTTGATAATATGCTCTGGCTGGAACTCTGAACAATTCAAATTCATATCCTGTTTAAATGATTGTATTTTGTTTATTACTTTGCATTGTCTGAAACATGTGTCAACTAAACATTATATTATTTTTTTCAGCAAACCTATATCGGAAAATGGATCGTCAACAAGTAATCAAAGGAGTAACAATCCTAAAACTGCAAAACTTTTTTTTTTCATGAAACACAAAATATTGAACTGCAAGGTAGAGCCCAGGAAATCAGCAACACCAGATATTATAGCATCTAATACAGGACTATAAGTATATGATGACACTTAATAGGAAACAAAATATTTGCCAGAAATAACATATAATGATAAGGTGCAATGAATATGCCAGCACACACAAAAGAATTGATAGCGCTAGCCACCTTCTGGAGAAGCCCAGGATCGGTTTAGCCGAGATAACTCTACAGGCTCTAAATCATAACAGCATTTCTTTAGTTATATTTCAGTTATCCTATTATGGACATTCAATGGCCCATTGTGTTGTTGTCCCATGTCCTGCATGCTTACAATATTCTGGAGTGACAAGAGAGAATTATGAAGCTGAATAGCTGATTTTTATAGACTTTGCTAAGAGAGGATTCAGAATTAACAAAGGTGGTTTTACAAGCTCAAAATGTCTGGAGAAAAGAATAACCTAATATAGTGCTAGTCACTATAAATAATAATACTGTTTGAGCAGAAGCAACATGCACGAATAAAGTGGAATAGTTTAAGACAATACTTTGCTAGGAGGCATACAGTGACCTATGTTTAAAGGGAGGTCTTTGGGTATCAGAAGAAACAATCAGTTCATAAGAAAAGAACCAGCTTCATGATATTTTGTCTAGAACTAGAATTATCAATCAAGAAGGTTTAATCAAGAAGATATAAAAGCAGAAAAGCAAGAAAACGCTGTTGGCAACGGAAATAAAAGAGTATCGTCGAAATTGAAGTGAACCAAAAGAAAATATATTTGCTGTTTTCATACCACGTAGAGCTCTTGCAGGAAAACGATTCGTCTTAATATGAAACTGGGTGCTCTTAAGACTTGATGATCTACCAGGAAAAGCTAGCAGCTGAGCATTTCCAACAGATACGCCCTGGCATAGAACCATTTTGCATGAGCTTGGCCTTAATCCTTATGCGGCTACCTGCGCATATACAGGTAAACGAACTGAGTGTTTGGTCTGACACTGAAATCATGTAGGGGGCGCAAACCCAACACAGATTAACTTATTTATTCGTTCAATTCGACAAGCATAATGAATTTGTTGAACACCAAACTGAAGCAATTAGGGATGCAAACGGCGCGGGCCGACGCCGCTAACCCGCTGGGCTACGCGTGCCGCAATTCACATAAACCCGCGCTGCAAACCCGCGAGATAGGAGCCGTCCAACGGCGCCGCGGCGTCCCGCAAGGAGGTGCGACTGCCAAGGAAGGGAGGACAAACAGAGAAAGCAGCCTCCTGTTTGTGCAGCTAGCCTGGGCAGAATAATGCGGAGGGGAAGCCACGGGCAACTGAGGCCGAGGGCGGCGGCGAGCTGGAGCATAGTGGTGCGGAGGATAGTGCGCGCGTCGATGGAGTCGCGGATGTGGTGCGTGATGGCGCGGACGACGCGCCAGACGGTCTCCTCGAGGCGCTTACGGTGGCGAGGTCGCGGCCGAGCTGGCGCTCCTTGGTGCGGAGGAAGGACTCGCGGACCTTGAGGCGGAGCAGGCGCGGGAACAGGATCGGGAGGGAGACGGCGGCGGCGGAGGTGGCGAGCGCGCCCAGGACCTTGGCGGTGGTGAGGGCGACGAGGATGCGGCAGGAGCCCGGGCGGACGTTCAGCAGGTGGGCGACTCGCGAGGTATGCGGCGCCGGCGCTACGCGGGCCGCCGCGAAGCCCGCAAAAGCAAGCGGCGTCATGCGGGCCGCCGCATCTGCCCGCAAATTCCCTCGCGGCTGCTGCGGACGCGGGGCGGGCTGACCGCCGCCGCGCCGTTTACAACCGTACATATGCTGTCCGTGAGTACCTAAAAATCAGTCGAGGCGTGCTCACCGGACGGTGGAGGATCCGGAGGCTGGGAAGAGACGGACGGCGGCCGACGTAGCGGGCTCCGCTGGACCGCACTCCAGAGGAGCAGACCGGAGCGGGCAAGCGACGTCCCCCCAAATCGGAGAACACCGGGGATGGGGAGGCCGCGCCGCCGGCGGTAGGAAGAGATAGGGTTATGCAGCGGTAATCAGCCCCTGACAGGTATCTGGAATTCACTCTCGACTCTCGAATACAACATGAACCTCTGCTCGCGCTGGGCTCGAACAAAACAAGCAGGCCCTAGGAAAATCTAGGCCCATGTAACTCTGGCTCGATCTTAGCGTTGCATTCGGCCTGCTTTGCCTTTGCTACCGAAATAGAAAGTTAAAATTTCTGTTTCCAACAAATTATTACCATTGCCATTTGATGTGTGTAAATTGGCACAGATTAGGGTAATTTTAAGGTGATCTTGTGGCAAATTCTTGTAAGTTGTGGCACGGCCAGAGCCTGATGGGACCAGTAATCGCATTATCAAGTCTTTATTCTTCTGCAAGCAACGTTTGATTTGGTCCCGTCTTGTCTTATGTATCAGGCAGGACGCAGCAGGGTCTGATGATCAGAAGATGCCAACATTATTGTTCCATTCCCTGCATCTTGTATTCCTGTTGAGCTTGGTTGCATCATGAATTCATGATCCACTGCCGGGTATTTATCGGGCTGCATGCTTCGTGCAACTGTGCCAGCAAGTATGCCACTCTTGTGCGAGAGAGTTTTGGTTTGTTGGTACGGCAGGCTTTGCGTGCCAATGCGTGACGAGTTAAACGACATGTTCGCTGGTTGGTTTCTGGGCTGATAAACCCGGTTGATGCTGATTTGTTGTGAGAGGGAAACACTATTGGCTGGCTGATAAGTCCTGGCTGAAACCAACAAACGAACAGACTGGAAGATTAGAATGATGATGATATGGTTATGTTTACCTAACTCGAATAGCTGCAGGCATTTAATTTGCGCAGGCAATGACAAATATGGCAAGGCAATTATCAGGACATTAAATGGAAATGAAACTTGTACATGAAGTAATGTGATCATGGGCCGACGACGGCTTTAATGGCTTGCTGATGCGAATGAAAAGCTGTCATCGGACTTGGGCAAGGCTTTGGCACAATATCCCCTTAAAAAAACAGGGAGTGAGCAATTCTGGCCCTATTCTGCTACATTACTTCAGCAGTACTTTTTAGCGAACGAACAGTATTTTTCTCTAACAATAAATTAGCATAAGCACCGGCAACTTAGCTTGCAAGGTAGGCGAGCCATCGATCGGTCGGATCAGCACGTACGTCTCTTTCTCTTCTCATGAAGCGAGAGTACCACCAGCCGCCGCAAGACTACCTTTCATTGAGCTCCTGCTGCTGCCTGTACTGTACTGACGTCGCCCCTGTCGATGTGTCACTTAACCACCATTTAAATCCTTTTGACAAAAGCGGTCACCGGGCCAACCCCACGTCCGCACGAATCCGAGCGGATCACACAGGACGACAGCCTGCAGCAGCAGACGGCGTACGTGCGTGTGCGGCGTCAACCACTCAACCGGGCACGCACGAGAAGTCAAAGCGAAGAGGACGAACGGACAGTCGGACACCAACGGCCTCCGCCGCGGCTGCACCTAAGCCGCATCTGCTTCTCGACGAAGACGAAGAGAGGGAGGAGTTCGTGGACGTCAGCTGCAGGGCGGCCGGCAGCGGCAAAGCCGGCAACTCCAGCTCGGTCAGGTCGCTGGTGCCTCAGCGAGGCAACCGGCAACCCGGTCCCGGACAGCTACGTGCACCGGCCGATTTTTCAGGCGCGTTTACGTTTCGCTTTGTTTAGCGTCGTCATAGGCAGGCTGTTGACCGGCTCACCAGTCCAACTCTAAATTGTGTGTTCAAACGTAGTAGCATGTCACGTCTGAACAAACCCACCTGTTCCATCTTTTGAATGCCAAATTGCCAATGCCCTCTTTTTTTAGGCAGGGACAGGAAAACACCACACACAAGTTTGGCGCTACGCTCACAATGATGACCATACAATATTCAAAGATTTCTTTTGTATATCAAATGGATCTCTGGCTGGACTGTCCATATATGGCATACAGGAGTAAGTTATCTACGCTTCAAAAAATTGGCAATGAGAGACGTGGTCAAGCAGCAGACTTTGGAGTGAAGCACCTTCATGGCTTCATCCGTTCAGTTGACCCGTAAATTGAATTCCTCCATCCAGGTTCAAACAACCGCTATCGAGCACCACATGCGTGAACTCGTCATCAGGATATTAAAGAACAACGCACAAACAAATGAATCCACAGAAGTTAAGAAATGCGTACAACCTTCTAATCCTTTTCCCCTCTCTCTTGTACAGTACACTTTGCCCTAAGGCGAGGAAATGAGTGAGGGGTGGATCATGCACTCTAAATACAATCATAGCATCAACAATCCCCCTAGCTAATGCTTCAAACAGGTGTCGAACGAAGAATAGAAAGCAATCGAACATCAGGACGAGCAGAAGAGCTGTCAACAAACAACCACAAAAATCTACACAGGGTTTCCATCTGTAATTCACAACTTGCCTATGGGTGTTATCTGACTACCGCGTACTCGTTATCTGCAACGATCCATCCTTTTGCAGCTTAAGGCTCAGGCTGGTGAACCGCTCTCTCGAATACTGTCTCGATGCTTTCCTCCAGTCTGTTCCGGCCTTCATCATCGCCGCAAACTCATCGTAGCTTATCTTGCCATCCTGAGGAACAAGATAACAAAAACAGTTTGGGATACTCAGTATCACAGAGTTTAGCCTTTTAATCATTACACCAAATGAGCTAAACAAGAAATGAGAAAAAAAGGTACATCCATTTACAACTAATTGACCAAGAAGTACAAACCTTATCGGTGTCTACATCACGGATAATGGCATTGATAACCTCTTCATGATTTTGTCCAAGGTCATCAGCTAATGACTCACGGAGTTCATCGATTTCAATATAACCACTCTGGTTCCGGTCAAAGTATGCAAATGCCTTATGCAGATGCTCATCATTTCCAATTTTTCTTAGATGAACAGATAATGTAACAAATTCTCCATAATCCAAGGACCCATTTCCATCAGCATCCGCCTGGCACGACATGCACAAACAGTAAATATAAAAGGCCCAACACATCACCTTCGTGACAGAATGCTCAATTAAAATGAAAAAGACAAACATTAAACTAGGTTGAAAGAATACTATTCAAAGGTGTTTGATATAAACAAAAAAAAAACTCCAGCCCAATATTAAAGAGGTGCAAATTAAGTTTCTGTTCTGGAGGAAAAGAGTGTCAACTCACAGCTTCCATTAGTATTTGAACATCTGCATCAGGCATTTGGTGACCAAACTTATGCAGACCAAGCTTCAGCTCATCGAAACTAAGCATTTGATCCTTGTTAAGATCCATCTTCTCAAACATATCCTTTATGTCAGCAGCCTCTTCTACCGAAAGATGCTCAGCTATGACCTGTATTCAAAGATGTGAGAAATTCCAGAGCAAATATGACAATTAAAGGGGTATCGTTTGGGGTCAAGTCAGACTGAAATGTACCCTAAGTGCATGCTTCTTGAACTTGTTCATCACAGAGAATTGTTGGAGTCTGGCCTTAACAGTTTCACCCAAATTGACATTTGGAGCCTTCTTAATGTTCTGTAACCATGGGTGATCTGGAGGGAGATACAAGGTTATCAGACAAATATATAGGGGAGAACACTTATGAAATATTATAGCATTATCTTCCATCAATGCTAACACAAGGTTCAGCAATCTAGGATTATAATTCTCACTGGTTTCAAATTAAAACAAAAAAACGAGTAAAACACAATATAGTCATCTAGTGCGAGAATGATTATTACCAAGCACTTGCTGAGCTGTCAATCGTCGTTTCGGATCCGGATTGAGCATTCCTCTGACAAGGTCTTTGGCGTTATCAGACACCCTTGGCCATGGATCTCTCTTGAAATCAATGGCAGATCGGATAATTGCCTGAGCAACACCCTGTTCCGTTTCTGCATTGCAACATTGAAACACAAAAATGTCAAAAACATTTAATAACACAAGATTAACATGCATTTTTATCTTCTACAGCCCCATCTCCCAATCACCACACCCAAATTCAATGTCAAGAAAAATAAGAGTATCAGTACACAGTATGCCATAATGAACATTTGAATTTACAAGAGATTGGAACGTATTCTTTTTTTTTTTGTAATTCTCAACATTCTAAACTGCTGTTGTATACAGATGTATGTATCACAGTTGTCCATCATTCCAGATACAAAACTAACCTGCCCAGAATGGAGGGACACCACAAAGAAGAATGTACAGAATCACTCCTGCACTCCAAACATCAACCTCTGGGCCATAATTTCTCTTTAGCACCTCTGGAGCCATGTAATAAGGACTTCCAACAATCTCAGTAAACCGTTCGCCTACACAAATTCAAATTCGGTACTTCAACATATGCCATGAAAGCAAGTAGCAAAAGAGATAAGACAGACCACCACAGTCCAGTGATCATATTGTCAAGAAGATGACATCATCGACAATGACTGATGAAGCAAAATGATAAATAGATAAAGGAACATAAACTGCACCTGGCGTGAAAAATACAGATAGGCCAAAATCAATGGCCTTAAGGGCCGCTGATTCTTTCTTGTTCGCAAACAAGAAATTTTCTGGTTTGAGATCCCTGTGCATCACTCCATGCTTATGGCACATCTGACATTGTACAAGAAATAACAGATGAACAAGTTAACTCATCTCATCGTTCAGATTATAAACGAGTTAAAGACTGCAGAAATGAAACTACAACCTATCTAATTACAGGATGATTAGCCAAGGAATGATAGTCTAAGCTAGTAGCTAGAGTGAACACAGCTAAACATTTACTACTACACAACCTATCGAATCAACTATTGAGAAAGTTGTCATATTAGTGACTGGAAACTGACCCCACGCGGCATAATGAGAGTAACCGAAACACATGTAACTACATTCATTTGTAATTTTGCTGTCCAATAGTAATGATTCTACTACGTATCGAAACGAAATCTCACCTGTACGACCTCGACGATAGTGCGTGTGACCAAGGCGGCAGCGCGTTCGGTGTAGTGCCCCCGCGCCACGATGCGGTCGAAGAGCTCCCCGCCCTCGCAGAGCTCCATGACGAGGTGCACGGCATTGTCGTCCTCGTAGGTGTCCCTGAGCGTGACGACGTTGGGGTGCTTGGGGAGGTGGCGCATGATCTCCACCTCCCGGCGCACGTCCTCGATGTCGACGGGGGTGCGGAGCTTCTTCTTGGAGATGGACTTGCAGGCCAGCGCCTCCCCTGAGGCGCGGTCCGTGCAGAGGTAGGTGACCCCGAACTCGCCGCGCCCGAGCTCCGCGCCGAGCTCGTACCGCGCCGCGATGTCCCGCCCCGTGGGCTCCCGCAGCACCACCAGCTTCGGCGCGCTCGCCGGCGCCGAGCGGTTGTACTCGATCGAGAAGGGGTTGGGCTTCTTGCCCTTCTTCTGCTTGGGCTCCTTGGTCTCCTTGTGCTTCTTGCCGCCGCCGGCGTCGGCGGCTCCGTTCGGCGTCACGCAGCAGTTGCCCATCCCTACTCCCTAGCCGCCGCGGAGATCCGACAGCCCCGGAGAAGGCGAATCAAGGAACCGCACGGCCCGCGGAGATCTGTGTGTGGGGGGGGGGGGTGTGGAGGAGGAGAATGGCGGAGATGGAGAGAGCGGCCGAGGAACGAACAGCGCGTGCGCGTTGTAGGGAAGCGGAGGCGGCGAGAGGGGTTAAATCGCGCGGGGGATTCGGTGTAGACGGGGTCAGCGGTGGCGGCGTCTGGCCCCCGTGTGGGAACCCGCCAGTGGTAAAGCCAAGCCCAGCAGCGACGGGGCCGCGGTGTGGGAGGCAACGGAGGAAGGTGGGAGACGAGCGGAGAAGGGGAGGTGGTCAAACACGACCTCGCTCACGCCTTTCCTCTTCTTCCCTCGTCTTTCTCGCTTTCATTTTATTTTAGAATATGTCGTTTTAGCCTCTCTCAACAACTAAATTTTTTTCATACACTTACACTATCTTATAGCTATATTTACGCTCGTCTTATTACTATATTTACAATTATTACTTTAGTATAATTTATTAAACAGAGTGATGTAATTTGGGGATAACCGTAGATTTCAAACAAATATATGCCAAATTTTTCAATTTTTTTTCTATAGCAGAGAAATATATGTCAAATTGTTTTTCACAAATTTCAGAAAAAATACAAATTATGAACAATTTGTGAATGGGAGACGACGAACAAGACGAGCAGCAGCACGAACAAGTTATGTGGTCGCGCTGTCCGCCTTCTTGCGCTGGCATCTTAACCGGCTCTCACGCCAGCAGCAGCATTGCCATCCATGCATGCTTCAGCTCTTCCATGTAGGGGTACACGTACACCCGGATCTCGTGCGGCCAAGGCGAGAACGCGCATGAGCCGGTTCCCGGCTGCCCGGGGCGCAACCGCCCTTGGGTGCTCCGGCCCTTCCGCCGCGGATCTCGTGCGTGGTGCCAGGAGGAGTTAGTGATGAGCCGGATCCGTCCGCCGGGGGCGGTGCTGTGCTGAGGTGATTTCCTGGCAAGGTGAGCGCCATGTTCGTTTGTCTGATAAGTCATAGCTAAAAATATTGTTGGCTAATTTGTTGTGGAAAAAATAATACTATTTATTGGCTGAAAGAATACGATCCGTGGACCAAACGAACAGGGCCGAGGAATCGGAGGAGGAGAGGAGGATCCACGGCGGTTAAAAACCGGTTGCTGGGCTCGGTGAAACATGCGGTTATCCAATAGCAATCCTGTTATTTTATCTTCTCGTTCGTAATTTTTGGAAAAATCGATTCTGCTGGTGATTATATACTATATTTAATGGCCTTACGGGAGAAGGAAACTTTGTTGGAAGAGTGAAGAGGACTGGACGAAAAAGGAGGTTAGGTGAGGGATGTTTGTTTCTCTGCTCCTAAAATTTAGGTTACATTAAATATTTAGAGGCTAATAAAGAACATTAAATATAAATTAATTATAAAACCAATTACATAGATTGAGGCTAATTTTCGAGATAAATTTTTAAGCCTAATTAATCTATCATTAGCATATGTTTATTGTAGCATAACGTTGTCAAATCATGGGCTAATTAGGCTTAAAAGATTTGTCTCGTAAATTAGTCGCAAGTTGTGCAATTAATTTCGTAATTAATCTATATTTAATACTTCATGCATGTGTCAAGCATTCGATGTGACAAGAATTCTAGGAGAAGAGGAATGAACCAAACAGTACCTTAAAATGACATTGCGCAGGATTCGTGCAGTCTTGGCTGCCTAATCATAGCGGACAGGTCGACGTTTTGATGGTTTCAAAAGCGTAACGCTACAGCGTTTAAGCGGCGAACGGATTTCCTGGCTCAAGTGGGGGGTGTTGCTGTGCTGTTCCAATTCCAACGAAACGTGTGGAGGGATTGCCAGAGGAGTGTCTCGTGCGCATTTTATTGTCAAATCAAATAAAAATGCGTCTACCCGATTGGAAGTTTCTTCACTTGGTTCCAGCACAAAGCAAAAGGGTGAGAGTGAGCCCAGCTACTTTGATGCTATGACAAAATAACCTATTAGTTGTGGGTTGGTTATGCATGGACTTGCTAAGAACGCAAGAGTTCCTGAAATTCCTCCAAAACTTTTAAGTAGGCTTTCATAATGGAGTTTTTTGATAGATATTTCTGGATGATCGTGTTGGACTTCAAAGATTCTGATTTAGCAGCTTTTTAACAAAAAAAATGGGTGCATAAATTGTTAAAGAAACTATAGGCTGTCGCACAGGAGCACCACACGGCGTTGTCGCATAGAATTTTTTCCTCGAATCCTCAATACTTCGCAAAGTCCACATGCAGTTTTGCATTTTTTTCATGCTTTTCTTGCTACCCTCTAAATTTCATATGATCTTCGTGGTCACATTTTTTTCCCCTTGGCATTCAAGATGCCTTAACCACTTTTCATCCATTAATTACAATTCACACACCGCGTTCCGCTTTGAGTAAACCCCAACTTAATGGTAGGAGTACCTTGTGTATTAGGCATCCATTCAGCGGCCCCATAACGCGATTTGAACGCCGCCACCAATTCAGCATGGCAGAGATTAGACCCTACTTTCCTCCTGCTCATCGGCCATCACTGCAATTTCTTTCCAGCTCCTGCCCGTGTCACGGTGTCAGCACTCAGCAGCAGTGTGTTACTGCTCCCCTCCCGTTTCGCTGTAAAGCGAGCCGTTCGTCAGCACCCGCCGGAGGTCGCACGCTCACGCACACGCACACGCTCGCGGACTCGCGGTAGCAAAGCTAGCGATCGCCGATCACGGGTCGGCGTCAACGGGAACCGGGCATTGATGTCCCCGCGTGTCGTCGGCCGTCGCGAGGCGCGGACCGTGCGAGCGGGACTGCTGCCCGTAAAAGCGCCGATGGGGCGGGAACCACCGGGAAAGGGACGCCACGGCCCGCCCGTTCACACCTCGCCGTCTCGCTACGTCCGTGAGCCGGCGGGCGGATCGTGTCGCGCGACACGGACGCCGACTATGCCGTACTCCGTACGTGGCAGTTCTGTTTTGGCGGGGCGGAGCGATTTTGCCGTGACACTGCAGCACCAGGGGCAGAACGCATTCGGCGTCGTCTGTCTGCCTTGCTCTCACGGTCACGGCATGAGTTGGCGGCGGACAGACGTGCGTGCGCTTTGGCGACCAGCCTACTGCCTACCCTACCCGAGCATCCGTGCAGCATAACGACAAGGAGAAACCCCACCCGTGACGGTTTACATCGTTGCGCCTGGTTTAGTTGGCCGAATTCGGCGCAGTCGGATTCACGGTAAGTCGCTGTAGCGCACTGTATTATTTTATTTGTATTTGATAATAATTGTTTAATTATAGACTAATTAGGCTCAAAACATTCATCTCAAAACGCCTAATCGTAATTAGTTTTTGATTTTGTCTAACCTAACTGTTTGATGTGATGAATTTCTTTTTAATTTCGTCTCCATTTTTTTTGGATTTTGGCTATCTGAAGATTTTCATATTAGTGTCATATATGGACTAATTAGGTTCAAATTTGATGTGATTTCTCACCCAACCATGTAAATTAGTTTTTTTTACATTTTAGTCTCTCCATACATGTCTTTGCGCAAGATTCGAAAGACGGATCTCGTGAAATTTTTTAATCTAAACAAAGCAAGGCCGTAGTCTCCAAAACGATTGGGGAACAGTGTGTAGTAGGATTAGCATAGTACGTAGCCGGCTAATGGATATGCATCAAGTTGCTGTTGCTGCTGGTCTGAACCCACTGGCCACTGCCTGGCCTGCCTGCCAAAATCGAGTCCACGCCCAGGGCTGGAGCCTTCTGTCTTCAGAAGCGACCCCGTTTGTTCGTCGGCTTATCAACTAAAATATAAAGTATCTTTTTTTCACAATAAAACAGTTTCAGCTGTCTTATTAGCCGACTTTAATACCAGCCGAAGAGGCCCGAAGCCGGAGCGGATGGGCTGGACCCGTTCGTTTGTTTGAAACTTAACTGGAAAAAACACTTGTTTTGATTGAAATGTTGTGAAAGAAAAACACTGTTCTGGCTGAAAAAAAAAGCTGGACAGCCGAACGGGGCCCGCCACAGCCAGGGACAGGGAGGGTGCCACAGCCAGGGACAGGGAGGGTGACGATGATTTGGACGGCCAGTGAAAAATATGATTGCTGACGTGCGTGGTGCCTGCCCTAATCGGACGAAGAAGAGGTCGTGAGTCTTGCTTGCCATCCAGAACAGTCAAAGTACGCGGTTCATCGGAGGCGCACTAATAATAAAGAATAGTATCGTTTGACGCTCGGTGTAGTCGCCGGCGCTTGCCGATCGAGTCGCGGGTCAAACGGCTCGCTGCGGAACGGAGCACCAGTGCTCGTGCTCGTGCTCTGCTTGTGCGTGCGTGAATGCGTGGTAGCAGGAACGCGCCAGCGGTCAAATCAAATCAACACGCTGTGAAGATGCACTCGAGCTCTGAGCAAGGCAGGGAAGTTTTTGTTGCCACGCCACGCGAGGCGCGGTTTCAAACAGTGTTCGGCCTCGCGCACAATGGTCAATGGAAAAAAGAGAGGAAGGGAGCACCGTGCGCGCTATGAAACACGCACTGAAGCGGCCGAAGGAAATATAAACCATATGAAAAATCCACGAGTTGTATGTTGCAGCAGTCAGCACTCTGCAGTTTTTTCTTAAAAAAACATCTGCAGCTTCGTTGGTTAAAAGTTGAAACAGAGACTTGCAGGCTTTTTTTTAAAGGAAAAAGGAACAAGAGACTTGCAGGCTTGCAGCGGCATTGGCACATTCATCGCAGTGCATCGTGTGTTCGCCCGGTTGGCCCATTCATCGTTGAAACCAAACACAGGCGTTCGACCGGTAGGCCCATTCACTGTTGAAATCAAACACAGGCTTCAGGTCCAAAATTCCAACTCCGTAGAGGCCCAAACATCCAGATCTGTAAAGGCCATCCGATCGCGAGGCTTGTTTATGGGCTCGAAACTGTCCGCTGCTCCTGAAACCTGATAGCAAGTGATG